CTTTATTTTCGGGAAAAGATTCATATAAGCTTTTCTACTATTTCAAATCCATCGTTTGAGCCCATATAGTAACAAATGAATCACATGAGCACATTTACATTTAAAACACTGTCAAGCCATCCTTATCGACCTGATCGATATAATAAGCCATTTTTTAAAAAAAAAACATATAATTTGTAAAAAATAGAAACAGAAATATAAAAAATAGATATATAATTGAAAAAGTGAAAATAAAAAACCAAAAATTAAACAAATATACATATATTACGTATTAGGTTTGGAGTGTTTGCGTTGAGAAGTGTGGAGTATCTGAAATTGAAATGTGCACTGTCGTCATAGATGAAAAAAATGCAGTGGCAATTTTGAAAATGAAGTAAACTTTTTCTACGGCGCATTACCTTATTCACAAATGTGCACTACTACGAACGAGGTTGTGCACCGTTTTGAATTGTTCTCGTTTGTCCCGGGGTGAACCATTCTCACTGAAAACGGAAGTACATGTTTGTAAACACCCTCCAGTGGCGGGGCATGGGGACTTATTTATACTCCCTCCGTCTAGGGATGGATCGGGCCTGGTCTGACCGGCCCGGTACCCAGCCCGGACCGCCACTGTGCGGTACTGGCCCGAACCGGCCGGCCGGGACCGGGACTGGGACCCGACCAGGGGGTAGGTGATAACCGCTTTCGCGGCGTTGTAGTAAAACGGAGTCTAACCTTTCGGTTTTTCCCCGAGTATCGTGTCTCTCGAGGAATGGCGGAGGAGCTTCTTGATTTCAAGTCCAGTCACAGGTTATCGCAAATTATTGGAAGCTTTCCAAATTAAAACTTTTGATTGATTTTCTAAACTACTTTTTGGAAAAGAAAGTAAATTAAATTGTGCAAATACTAATGATGGCTCAAAAATAGACTAAAGGAAAAAATATAATATTGAACTTAAATGGATTGATGCAAATAAGGGCAATGAATTGAGTAATTAGAAATGGATATATTCTTGGACCTAGTAATTAGGGAAATTAAAACTAAAATTGGACTAATAATTTCTTTCCTCATAGACAAGAATAGAAACTATTTTCATTAATTTATCCTATTTCTAGGTGTCATTAATGTGTTCAAAATGGTTGGCTTGAATTAAATTCTAACCTCATAGACAAGGTAGAAATAATTCTCCAATATTTTAATTAATAAAAGAGAAATTTATCCCCGGTAAGACTAAAACTCCTATCCTTTACCATTATATGACTCCCCAGTTTTTTTCCCAATATGTGTTTTATATTAGACCTATTCGTACGGCCAGAGCTGAGGGTTTTATTTTTTTTCCTTTGATACCCCCATAAGTCGGTTATGGTATGTCTCGGTCTTATCATTTTCTTCCCATTTAACCGCTGCCCATTAAATGTTGATTCCGTTAAAATAGGTAAGGAAATAATATGACTCCACGTCTCTTAACCTCTCTCTGTATATCGACGGCGGTATTCTTGGTCTCAAGCACCACATCGTTCAATCGTCCTTGTACTCGGATTTCATGGAGTTTCTTTGCCCTTCATCGAACATACGCGTGATGATCAAGGTACATGGGGAATGGGATAGTAACCTTCAGTTTCATAGTTTATGTTCAATTCCCATTGATATTCCGTTATCATGTTCATTTCACGATTTCTGCAACATTTTAAACGGTTCATTGGGTTTGAAGTACATGGAGGAACATATTAGGATTTCATACGTCTTTGAGCTTTGTCCTCCCCCTGTTGTTATTAATGATGATGCGAGCCTGATGTTCTATTTGCAAATGAAGTTCATTCAATCTGACGTGAATAAACTTCCTTTGTGCATTGAGGTTCTGCAACCAGTTCAAGGTATACGTTTCATTCTATTTCCTTTGTTTTACTCATTGTTTTGCATACATTCGTTTTATAAATTTATCATTAATGAATGTTATTTTTTTTTAATTTAAGGCGGAATTGTGAATGAGGTGTCAAATGATGGTACAACTGCGGTTTGTGATGATGGACATTTGGAAGTCATCAATGAAACTGAACCTGTAGGCGGACCAAACGAAACAACAACCTTCGCCGGTGATATTGTAGTTCATGACTCCGGCATTGAATGCAGTGACCTGAGCCCTTTGTCGTTTGGGGATAATGTGTTAAATGATGATTCGCCAAGCTCGTTTGAAGTTCCTCTCCCGTCTTTTGTGTCCCACTTTGACCCTACTCGTCTTGCTGTCGACGCTATATATGAAAGCAAGAAGGATTTTGATTTTAATTTGAAGATGTTTGCAATCACCAATTTTTTTCAATACCGAACATTGTCATCATCTCCAAAAGTTTTGCATGTTATTTGTGTGTATCCAGAGTGCAAATGGGCTGCTCGTGCTGTCCGTGTTGATGAAAGTGGCCTGTTTCAAGTGCGAAGGTTAGCACTACCTTTTTTAGAATAATGATCTATCGATGATTTTCACATATTATTGCATTGACTGCGTTATGCTGCACACCCATTGTATTCTTTTATACACATTTCAATTCTCATACTTCTTTATAAAAATGTTCAGATTTGATAACAAGCACACATGTCCCATCGATGTTAGACAAGCTAATAGTCGTCAGGCATCTGCATCTCTTATTGCCGAACTCATTAAACATGAATTTGATGACGTGGCAAAAAAAGTTTACACACCCCATACAATTATGGCAGACATGCAAAGAATTCATGGAATCGTGATGTCTTATAAAAAAGCTTGGCATGCAAGGGAAATTGCAATTCGATTGGCTCGGGGATCAGAAAAGGACTCTTACAAGAGGCTACCATCTTTGTGCCATATGCTGGACCAAGCAAACACAGGTTCTATTGTCACACATTCTTCCAATTCAAATGGAGAATTTGAGTATTTTTTTATGTCTCTTGCGCCATGGAGGGCTGGATGGGAACATTGCATTCCAGTAATCATTGTTGACGGTTCTTTTATGAAGTCATATTATAAGGGAACACTACTAACAGCATGCACTCAAGATGCGAATAAGCAAATTTTTCCACTTGCATTTGCTATTTGTAGTGTTGAAAATACGGTGAATTGGACATGGTTTTTTAATATGTTGAAAAAGTCTCTTACACATAGGGAAGACTTATATGTCGTGTCAGATCGCCATGAGGGAATCTTAAATGCTGTGCATTCCGTCTTTCCACATGCGGAACATGGTTTTTGTGTTTACCATATTTTAGGCAATATAAAATCCAAATTTCGTGGATCTGCACGTTTGGTGTCTTGGAAATTTTTACAGGCAGCCCGGGCTGGTTCGGTGTACGAATGTGAAGAGTACCTATCCATGCTTGATTACGATGACCCGGAAATTCGAAGATACTTGGAGCGAATTGGTCATGACAAGTGGTCTCGTGCATACGCTAGCCGCAATAGATATTCAGTCATGATGTCCAATAATGCAGAGTCTTTGAATGCTGTTGTTGTCACTGCTCGTGAGTATCCCATTTGCAAGTTGATAGAATTTATTGTCGGCACAATGCAGAAATGGTTTTGTGATCGTAGAGAAGCTGCTGCAGCCAATGAATCTCGGTTATCTGCCCATTTTGAATCCCAGTTGATACTGTCGCAAGCTAATGCAGCTGTAATGCAGGTCATTCAATGCAGTAACTGGATTTATGACTTTGTAGTTTATTGTTTACTTTTTTTCAGTTTTTTTTGTTAATTCTGCAAATATTTTGTTCACAGGTTCGCCCATCATGCAATTTTGAGTTTGAGGTTTTTGACAGAAAAGGAAGAATATATGTTGTCAATTTAAGAGCAGGAACTTGTACTTGTCGTGAATTCCAGCTAGATGGCTTCATATGTGTTCACGCTGTTGCTGCAATACGATCTCGCCCTGGTCTTTCTTGTTACGATTATATTCCTCAGTATTACACTAATCATAAATGGGTTGCAGCATACGACGGCATTATTCATCCAATTGGTAGTCCTGACGGTTGGGTTGTTCCTCGTCATGTATCTGAAACCATTTGTAATCCTCCATCATGTTCCAAGCGCCCCCCTGGAAGACCTAAGAAGAGACGAATACCATCCATTGGTGAACATGTGAGGAAACAAAAGTGTACTCGTTGCTTGACAGTTGGTCACAACAAAAAGACATGCAGAAACCCCATTCCGCGTTGCTAATGTTTCATTATTAAAACATTTTTTTACTTTATTATGTTATTGACTATTATTTTTTACACTCATGTTTGTCTGACATTAGAGTATTGTCTTTTTTATTTAAAAGCTTTGGAAGCATTATGGTATTATTACATTCATTTATGCATGGTATTATTACATTCATTTACTCCAATCATTTTATGAGAAATTATATCTACATTTATTAGTTATATTGTTATGGCATTCCTTTTTCCAGCGTTTTTTTTTTTAAATTATAACCTTTTTCAATTTTTGTCAAAACATAATTAACATTTGAGGCATTAGAATGGTGCATTATCTTTAAGCATTTAAGTGCTCAATGCTTTGAGCACTTAAAGGATACATGCTATATGGCATTATTCAGAGTTACTGTAATTCCATTATAAGAACAATTTGCACAACGCATTACATGTCTGCAATATCTGCAATATCTAGATACTTTAACACATAAATGACATGAACGTGCACATACCATTCAAAACATAAAACCGAAAACCACAATCTCAGTTCCAAACATTAAAAACATAGATACCATTCATTTACACCATAAATCAAAGTTACTATCAAATCCATTCATCCAACCATTCAAAACACCGAAAACAATAAACATAATGTCACATAAATCCAAAGCATAAAGTGACTTAGGAGAAAACAGACTACGAAGTTCGGCCAAAAACCAAAAACAAAGTCACAACTTTTCAATTTCTCTGAAACAACTCAATCCACCCCATACAACTGAGGGAGTCCAAAGTGCTTAAACAGGTCTATCACCATCTTCTTCCGATAATGCCAATTTTCACGCCATTGTACTTCCGTTGCAGGTCTTCCACACATCAAAGCTTCCGCTATTTTGAGCACAAATAATCCACAACTATGCCTGCATACACAATTGATACACAATTGACTAGTAATCGGTTTCAAAAAGTAGTTTACATAATTATCTTGGGTTTTAGTGCAGTTACCCGTCAGTCTGTTGTGGGCATTCAGTAACAAACTTCACTTCCAATTTCCTGTCTCCAATTGGCTCTTCTCCACGTTCCTCATATACCCCCATGGCATCCATCAACCTTGCTAAATGACTTTCCATGCAAGGCAAATACTCCTTACTCTTTCTGCATGGTCCTCCACTTGAATTTAAAGAATCATAAATTCGTATCCGCTTCTCCCCCACATCAAGAACTAAGAGAATCCAGTGACTGCCAATGTTCAAAGGCATGTAAACGTGCTCACACTCTGCCCATCGTCGGCCGTACTCCACATTTCTGCCATGTATAGCAGATGTTATACTTTTATTTCGCAGTGATACCTCTATTGTGCTCCCATTCTTGACAATAGCATCATGATGGCGTTTCACCAATGCCATAAAAAAAGAATCTGTTGTTGTGAATATCTGCTTGAAGGAGCATTCTTTCGCTTTTGCACGGAAGTAGTACAATACGACGTCTATGTGCTGCACAATATTACAATTCCACAATTATTACTTAACACTTATACATTTTAAACAGAAATAGCAATATTATATTAAACTTACCGAGTCCGTTATCCAGTTCTCATCAAACCATAATGCATAGTACCACGACTTGCTTGTCAGTCTATCATCATTCCATATATTTATTTTGTTTCGCATTTTCAACGTTTCATCTTTTGCTCTATACTTCTTGCCGGTTGCCCGTTTGTGACCTTTCAGGAGTCCATGTGCCATGAATTCAACTATTGTTTGCTCCTCATTACTTGTCTCATAGTAGGCTCCAAAGTCAGATCACCTCCCAGCACAACCTCTTTCCCTTCAAACCTGGGTTCTGTCTTCCTTTTTTTGTTGTTCACTGGCCCTGATAGTGTTAATCTTTCAGGCACCTTGGTTTCTCTCCTTGGGCGTTTCCCTAACTCCTCTCTCACCACAGTTTCTTCCTGTCATTTTTTTTTAAATTATTTATTACTAGTAAAAAAATAATATAAAAGAAGCTTACAAGTATTAAAACCAAAAAATCATCACAAATTAACCTGAAAAAATAAAAAAATAAAATTTAAACATAGTAAATAGGTCAGTTTCACATTGCATTAAAAAGGAAAAAAAATCACGGCATGCCTCTAAACACAAATATGTAGAACGTACTTATCCCACGTATTAACCAAATCATACTAACTGAACAAAATAAAAAGTTGGTGAAAGTCCTTAACCTGATTCTTCTCAGACTCCTCTCTCAACAACATTTCTTCCTGAAAGTATGAAAGAATAAATATATATTAAAGTCAGAGATATATAGAATTTTATCATCCAATGCTCTAAACAAACCATTTGAAGTAAATGCAAATTATGTAATGCAAAATATTCTGGCCCTAATAAATTTACTTCACCTTCTTAATTAATGGTTCTTTTTCAATGTTCTTCTTCAATTGAAGATCTGCCACAATGTTGTCCACAGCTTCCACCAGTACCTGAGTACTTAAAGGCTCTTCAAATCCATCATCCCACTTTGTAGCATCAGGGGCTGATATTTCCTCAACATGACCCGATACCTCATCCGCCACATATGCCGGCTGATCTGCCACAAACTCCATCGACACATCTGCAGCTTCCTTTTGCTCAACTCCATCATTTGCCTCATTGAACTCCGGTGCAAGGTCAAATGATGGAATGTCCTGATACCTTGGCTCTCGTTTCTTTCTTAAAAAGTTAAACTTGCCTATCACACCAGCCTTCCCTTTTTTAACATTAACCAGCAACTTTTTAATCATACTCGCTTGCTTCACTTGTAAATCACACAACTTTTTAATGGTATGTTCCAGCTTCTCAATTCGTTCACCTTGTTGTCTCAATGCAATCAGCAAACTTTCACTGCCATCAGTGCTTGTTGGAATTGCATTGACAGAACCTCCAACGTCAAACCGCTTAGATTTTCTTTTTCCTCCAACCTTTGTCTGGTTTTTCTTCCTACGTGTGCCTTCTGCGCCACCACGTTTCTCTCTGTTACTCACTGCATTTCCGCACGCTTTTTCGTTTCTGATTTTTTCCAAAGCATTCACTATACGTTCGTCTTTCAACTCCTCTTCTGTGGGTACCATAGCGTCCCATTGAAACTGTCAGCATCATAATAAAAAATTATTCACAGTCACTATCATTAGCTATTGATGTCATCATAATATACATTAATTTACATTAAATGTTGCAACATATTATTATCTATCATACCTCCTCATTACGAAATACAAGTTCGTCAAGCAATTGGGATGATGGTCTTGATGGGGCTGACCAATTAAGCGTCCTGGGCAAATAGTTGCATGGCTTTTTAATGCACACTCTTGATCTTCTCAGTTCTGGAAACGTCTCAAATGCCCATATTTGAAGAGCAAAAATGTAGCCTGGAAATGATGGCCTTTTATTTTTCCCTTCAAATACTAACGCTGCACATTTGGGAAGCTTTTCTACCAAGTCTTCCCACACAACGTCGCCCCACGGATACTTATTGAACTCTTCAATGTTGTCTACCAGGTTGAGGTAACTTGTAGGGATCTTGATTGTTGGCTGGTTTCCAAGAATATAGTTCCCAAGAACATGCAACAAACCAACTTTAACGGCATCTAATCTCTCAAACTCCATCTCTGCTCTTCTATTACCTAGGGACTCAAAAACCTGCCTCAGGTCTGAACGGTCAATACTCCTCTTTCCATTGAAGAATTTTCGCCACACATCACCCTGAGGATTTGCACTTGATGTAGGTTTATTATCTGCAAACTGAAATCCGGTTATCAAAGCGAAGTCCTCTTTCTTCATTGTAATCAACCTCTTGCCTATTTGGAACTGAATGGCCTTCTTCACATCACTGTCATGCAATGGCTCCACATAATTCCCTACAAGCATGCCTATAAGTTGAGCACTCAGCCAGGGCATATTCCCTACATCAAGTAGATAGCCAAAAACAGTTTTCCTGAAGTCAATCACTTCATCTTCAGTCAAGATGCTGCGTATACTCTCTACAGCCTTGACTGGATTGCAAAATGAATTGATTGTCATGTCAAACTTGCCCTCCAAAATGTGTGCATCACAATAACGCTTGTATTCCTGTTCACCACAAACTCAGATTAAGTTTATTTTTTATCACCAAAAAAAAGTTTGACACATGAATAATTCAGTACTTAGTTTCACAGTACAAAACAAACATGTTCACATGGTCATTATGGTGGACATAGCACAATTGGACACGTATTGCAATAACTAAATTCACTACTACATTTCAGTGAACAACAAATAACTCCTTCAATGCACTTATTTACCTTTTACTTCTGAAACATCAAACTGTAGGACATTCTATAATGCAACACTCAATATTAAACTACAAGTCTCAATGCATTTCTTCAATTCTGCATCTCCACGCTGCACACAATGCATTCGACACCAAACTTTACCTACTACATTCCAATGCATATGCCATTTGTATTACACATCCAATACTACATTAATACAACTACATCTGCATTCAATTCTATAATCAAGATTAACATACACCAACTACCAAACTACACACTTAATCTAACTGAAGAAACAAAAATTAATAACATTGCAATTCAATCAATGCTTTTACGAAGCCGAAAATACACAACAATCTGAAACATAAGGTTAATCTGAAATAAGAACCACAAGTTTCTCACATTTTAATGCTCTCAATGCTTTAATGGAGATGAACACACACAAATAATTGAAACATACACTTGCTTCAAAATGAAAAAACACAAATTTCTCACATTCACAAGCACTCAATGATTTCATCGAATTGAATAAACATTCTAAACTTCACATGCTGACATCACCGAACAAAAGAAAAACCCTACCAACTACAATCAGTCCAAGAATGGAACAAAAAAAACCAAAAAACTCACCTTCCCGTCGATTGTAACTACTTCGTAGTGTAAGCCGCTGCTGTCTGCCTTTGATTTCCCTTTTTTCGTCGCCATTTTTCTTCTCGACTAAGACGGAGTTGATGTTCCCTCTGAACTGCGGCTGCCTGTTTTCTATCTCTCCCGGTCTCTCGAGTAATTTTGTTAGGTTTTGCTTCTCAATTCCTTCCATAATTGAAATCCTAAGAAATCGCGCCGAAAATCCCTCGTTTCTCTCAATCGCAGTCGCAGGGATTCTTTCCGTTTCTACCGCCTTCTCTCACCAATGCACGTTCGAGTACCATTTTTCTGTTGGAGGGTGTTTTTGTCTTTCAAAGCATATAATTTCCGTTTCTTTTATTTCTTTTATTGATTTTGAGTCACATATTTGACCAAAAACTCATCCGGTCTTACTTTGAGAATCCGGATATGTTTTAGTAATATTCCAGTTTTTTTCCCTTAATAAAAATAGCCAAATTCATTAACTAGTTAAACTCATTATTTAAGCAATTGAATTTATCTCTCATAGACAAGATGTAAATCCCTTTCATTAAATTATCCTATTTCTAGGCCTTATTAATGTGCTTGAATATGGTTGGCTTAAATTATTTTCTAATCTCATAGACAAGTTAGAAATAATTTTCCAAGAATTTAATTAATGAATATGGCTAACAATTATTAATTACTATTTCATCATTTCAAACAACTAGTCCAAATTATGAATTTTAATCCCTAATTTTCGGTCAACAAGTCAATCCATATTCCTTTAGTCAATTCATGCCCAAAACAAATTTAGCTAATAAACATCATTTTTTCATTTAACAATACAATGAATAAATTCAACATTAACAAGGAATTAAGCATGTACAAAAATAATATTTTGCCAAAATAAACTTGTAGAACTAAAATATCACCTTCTGGAATTTTTCCCGAATTTTATAACCTAAAATTCAATTTTAACAACTAATTGATAATTTTCCCAATATTAACTAGCAAATACAAAAAAAGGCAACTACAAATATTCTAAATTCGTTCTAAATTTTATATTGACTACTAGGAGTGATATTACTGTGAATTAAATTGGAATTAGGACAGAAACTAATTTTTTTGCCTTTTTTGAGTATTTAATTTAATTTATGCAATAATAACAACTAAATGCCGGAATTAATTAAAATTTACTTCTACTTCGTAAAAATTAACTTTGTTTTGATAAATAACTACCTTGAAGCTAGTAAACAACTATATAATTAATTGGAATGGATTTAATGTCAACAACTATTTTATTCAAATTTAAGAAGAAAATGCGAAATAGTGGAATAATTTTCTGGAAATTTTAGAAGCACAGATAGAAAAAACTAAGTACAGATTCAGATTCTACTCATTGAAAGGATGAAAATACATATAAAGAACTCACAATTTGGAGCTAAAATGAGAAAGATATGAAAGATTGAAGTTGAAGGTGCAACAATGGTGAAAATCCGAGCTTTGAGGAGGAAGAAGACGCCCTTTTTGATCTGATTTGGGCTTGAAATTGGTGTGTTTGAGATGGGGAAAAAGCCTGCTATTTATAGCAGAAATTTCACCGAAGGCGCCCAAGAAGGCGGCCGCCTTCCGTCGGAATCTGGCCGCCTTCCGTAGGCGGCCAACCAGGCGGCCGCCTTTGGTCTCATTTTGGCCGCCTTCCGTCCCGTCGCCGACAGCGGATCGTGGCCGGTCTCGTCAGCCGTAGGCGGCCACAGAGGGCGGCCGCCTTCCGTCACAAATGGCCGCCTGCCGTCTTTTCGTTGGCAGATCGGATCCCGGCGGATCCCGGCGGATCCCGGCCGCCGCAGGCGGTCCAACAGGCGGCCGCCTGCCGTCCTGTCTGGCCGCCTGCCGTCCTGTCTGGCCGACCGGTGGTTGGTTTTGTCCCCTTGTGCCGCAGGCGGCCACCGTAGGCGGCCGCCTTCTGCCCAGTGTCGGCAGCCTTCGGTCTTTTTCTGGTCTCGAGTCAAAGCGAGGTTGACTTCTGATTTTTCCCGTAGGCGGCCGCGAAGGCCTCCATTTTGGGCGCCTATTTGGGCGCCTTCTGCCACTTTTGTCTGGCAGATGCGGCTTTTACTGCTCTTCATTTTTGTCTTCTGAATCACCTTGATAAAATGCTTGCTTCTTCCGGTATAAATGTATTTGTCACTCAAATTGACTCATTTTGTGCTCAATTGACCCAAAATCCCGCTAAACATATTATGGATGTGATTTTTACCTGATTTCATGAAACTTGAACCAAAATATATAAAATGTGTCTTTTCTTTCTATTTTCATTCAAAAATCGCTTAAATTTGATAAGAAAAATAAGTACAAAAATGGACTTATCAATCTCCTCACACTTAAGCGTTGCTTGTCCTCAAGCGACGAATTAGTTGTAAACACACTCAAAAGGTAAAGCCTAACTGTATTACAATCTAATTGCTATTTTAAAGAAGTAGAAACAAAAACCTCTTCTTTTATTCTCAATTTTTAAACATTTTAGAAAAATCACCCAAAATACAAGAATTTAAAATTAGTATTACTTAAGAAAAACTATTTATTATGTTAAACCACCAATCAATTCCTTATCCCAAGGTTTTCATTATTCTAATTTGGACATTCATCATGTTCACCATTTTTTTTTTTTTTTGCTCTTTTTCACTCTTGTTGGCGGTGTTATCCCATGGTAAATGCATATTTCATTCTCACAGACTGTGATTAACGAATGAAACAGAGCCCCTTTTCGGAGATGGAATTGTCCCATAACAATGAGTTTTGAAGAGGTTTATTAATAGTAATATATATATATATATATATATATATATATATATATATATATATATATATATATTTTTGATGAATAAAATGAATGTCCAATTAAAACAAATTCGGACCTTTACATTCGCAACCAAAAACCCATAACAATTTTAAGTTTTCAAGAATAATAATAAAAGTAAATTCATATAATAAGGGTGATTATCTAAACTATTTATGCGATTGATAACAAATTGAGAAATTAATGTTTCATGTCAAAAATAGTAAAAAGGTTGTTCTAAAATAAGTTTTTAACTTTTGAGTGTAAAACACAACCTCCTCACACTTGAGCTAGACCTCGCCCTCGAGGTCTTCTTTTAAGGCACAAAACCTTGAAATAAAGACACACATTTTTTTTTTGGTTCTTTCCTCACACTTGAGTTTTGAAAAGATTTTGTGAAGAGGAATAATGAAACAGGAATAAAAATCATTACATCATTCATAGTCAGTTTGTAAGAGCAATTAAGTCAAAAGAGCGGCACAATGTCCAACCTGAATAAACAAACAAACACAATAAAATGTTAAGGAAGAAAACTAAGCATCACCCGTGTCCTCCCGTAAGGCCTAAGCCAAACTCTTATTTCATCAACATTGAAGCACACCCTGCAAACACACAAAACAAACAAACAATGTTATGAAAAACATGGGTTGCCTCCCAAGAAGCGCTTCTTTAACGTCACTAGCTTGACGTTTGAGAGAGAACTCTCAGCTATGCATGTCAATTGTGGGGCACTCATCATTAGTGCTTCCACCTTATCCTCCAGGTATGCCGTCAGATGGCGTAGACCCTCAAACTCTCTTGGCCACCAAAATGTGATATAATCTTCAAAGAACACATCATTCGAACAAGAAATTAGCACATATCCTGCATCACTC